GCCCTTTTCCCCTGAAAAACTGACAATGCAAAATGCTAGAAAGAATACGGGGGGGGGGGGGGGGGGTCTTTCCCAAGGCCATTGCTCATGGTAGAAAGCACCATAAACTTAGAACCAATTAGTTAACTCTCATTCTCCCCATGCACACACCCCTTGTCTTCCCATATGAAAATCAACAAAAGGACATGACTTAAGATAATTTCCTGAATAAGCTCCTTTTAGCAATTACCTGAGATATGACTGGCAGAAGTTCAAACCACAGACAATGCCCTACCAATTTTGCTCTTCTAGCCCTACCTATTGAAATTTAGTCACTTGGATCCAGGATGACAAAAGAAGAATCCTCAAGAGCCTGGGAACTTTGTCCCTGTGCTGAGACTTATTGTTGAGTGGCTCTTTGTTCTTGTGCCATATGCTCCTTCCTTGGGATTGACTTGCTTCCTAACCACTGAGTTCTGGTGGCACCTTGTCATTCACTAACCCCCAGGGCTGATTTGGCTGTGCTGGCAAGTGTCCCCTTTCTCTCTTTGCACTTATTTGAAATGCTCAAAGTGGAGTGCCTGTCCAGATTGAGGACCACTCTTCGGACACAGACACTTCAGATACTACAAGTGGTTGCTAGAACCTCCAAATAAGCTCTCTCCTCTCTTCTGCATTCAAACAGCTCCTTAATAGAGAAGTTGGAAACAAGAGTTGAATATCTCTACGTCCTCTAAGTCCTATGTTGAGAGTTTGCTATTTGCTGATGGGCCACTGGATGTCCTTTTCGCTGCAAAGAGGAGCCCTTTTTGTTCAGATTCAGCTCATTCTGGTCTCCAGCCTTACTAGTAGTACAGGGAGCTTGCTCAGATGTGATTCTCCAAGGATGGAGAATGGTAGGGAGATCAAAGAAGAGATGGGGAATGAAAGAAGAACGCAAGGGGAGGCGGAGGCAGGACTTGATTAATATCAAGAAAGATACAGACCCGGGCCGCTGAAAATGGCTGACCTGGAGGGCATGCAAGCCCAGTGACCGAGAACCAAGAGAGGATCATCTGAAGGAGATGGGTTGGAACAGGTAAGAAAGGATGGATGTGAGGGGAAAGGAGTTAGGGTTTGTATTAGGTTCCTGTGGTTGCAGTCACAGATGACCACAAACTCTGTGGCTTAAAACAATGGGAATTTATTTCTCACAGTTCTGGAGGGCAGAAGTGTGAGACCAAGGAGCTGGCCGTGCTGCACTCCCTGCAGAGGCTCTTGGGGAAAACCCTCCCTTGCTGCTCCTCCATTTCTAGTGGCTGTCAGCATTCTTGCTTCTCTCCAATATCCTCCTCTGTCTTCACCGGGTCCTCTGTTCTCTGTGTATCTCCTATGAGGACACTTGTTATTGGATTTAGGGCCTACGTGGATAATCCAAAATCATTTCAAGATTCTTAATTTAATTATATCTGCGAAGACCCTTTTCTCAAGTAAGGTAACATTCATGGGTTCTAGGAATCAGGATGTGGACACACCTTTTGGGAGGCCAACATTTAGCTCAATACAGAAAGGGAGATAATAGAATGTAGGGTACAACAAGGCAGGAGGTCAGAGCAAAGTGTTCAGAACCCAAGACAAGAATCAGGTAGGAATGAGGATGTGGCAGCTCCTCTTCGGTAGGTGGTGGAGGGACAGAGGCAGCACCACAAAAGGTTGGACCATGACAATTTTCTTGCCTTTTCTCGCTTGTTTCTGCACATCTACTTCAAAGCTAAGCTTCTGGGATAAATCCACTCTGACTTCTTTAGCTAGGTTCCTTCTTAAAAAACAAAAGTTTAGGCTTTGAGCTTCCCATCCCTAGAGTTATGATCCCTTCCAGAGTCCCTGAGAAAAAATTTTTTTCAATAAATTTCAAGTCCACTTCCTAACTAAAGGTAAGTGTTTGCAAAGTCCTTTCCTCTTGCATCAAGAATTCTACCATGGTATGGTCATAATCTTGCAAGGCTTCTGTCACTCTAACACTCCTAAACGGGTCTTTTCCATTGTTTAGATTTAGGCATAATATAGCAGTTCCTTCCTCTCCGTCCTTCACTCACTGAGAAATAACACTGTAATGATGGTAAGAGAAGAATGCATCCAATATTCTTGTTTTGACAAATACCTGGATATGAGTTGTATCAGTCAGGATATGCTAATTATGCTGCAGTAGCAAAAAAACACAAGTCTCTGGGGACAACAACAGTAAAGGTCTACTTGTCATTCCTAGTGCATGTCTTTGGTTGGCTATGCTCCATGCCATCTTTACTCAGGGACCCAGACTGATAAAACATTGGAACATTGTGCATTGTCATGGCAGAGGGAAAAGAGCATGGTGAATCACACATTAGCTCTTAAATTTGCTGCCCAGAAATGACACATCACTCTTTATTGGATAAAAGGAATCACCTGGCCAAGTCTGTGGTCAGTAGATCAAGGAACTATAATCCTCTCGGGGAGTAAACAATAAACAGACATCATAGAGTGTCTCCAGTTACTCCGGTTACTATATTATTGTGGCTAATCCATGATTCCAGGGACCCAGAAAACCCTGTCCCCTCCCGCCACCATAAGAATTCATTTCCTGACAATGGGAACTCTCCAAATGGCAAATGTCTGCTTACACAATCTTTCCCCAGGCAGTGGGGCTATAAAACCAACCTAAGGGATGTGATGATGAAAAATCTCATTGGCTGACAACTGAGGCCTATTTCTCCCTCTCAGCACATGTCCATTGTGGATTGGGCATCTGAATGAGCAATACAGTATCTTTTTGAGGGAGACTGCATTTAATGGCTTCTATGAAAGAGTCCCCAAATGATTCTAAGCTGCCTACATCTATTCTGCTTGTGTGTGGGTTGCCATTATAAGGAGCTACATTTGGGGATTCCAATATATTTTTCAGAAGAACAGTGTCTGGCTCAATGAATGTTTGCTGAATGAATAAAGGAAACATAACATATATTCCATCCAGCTGGGTGGTTAGTAGTATACTCCCACAACATTTCTGTTCTTCCTTTTTATCCACATCCTCTCAGAGCTCTGTGGGCTTTCATATAGTTATTAGTTCACTGTCAACTGAAGTCACTTTACTCTTTCAGATTAAAAAAATAAAAACAAACAAAATAAAAAAGTGCAATCCTATATGGCCTGTGGGAAGACCAGCGGCCTCCTCAGGGAACTTTATGTACTCATGTCCCTCGTGGCTTTACAGCCTGATGTTTGGAGCTCACTTGGGTCTCATCTCCAACGCAATCTTTTCTGCTCTTACAGATCCAGACAGAAAACTTAGACTTTTGTCTCCACCTTTCTAACCCCCGCCCAAAACAACCACACCAAACTCACTATTCACACAGGTTACCACTCACTGCAAGTCTGGTGGAGCTCAGCCTCCCATCCACTCAAAAACCCTTCTCAATTACCTACTTTCTACTTTCCTGGCCTCCTCCCTGGGTTCCGGCTTCCCCTAGTTCAATCCCCTTCACTGTCTTATGCAGTGCAATCCAACTCTCCTTCTACTCTACTCCAGGCTTACCTTTGCATAGCCAAAGACTCGCTAATGTCTAAATAAAATAAATAAATAAATAAAACAAAGGGCCATTTGTGCAAGACAGAATCATTGGCAGAGATTCTCTTAAAAATTACTGAAGGCCCTAAACAATTTTTGTGTACATGAATTTTATCTATTGATATTTACCATATTAGTAAGTAAAACAAAAACTTTTCTATTCATCTGAAAACAAGAAAATATTCATTATATATTAACATAAATGATGCCTTTTTATGAAAAAATACATTTTCCAAAACAAAACAAAATTGGTAAGAAGATATGGCATTGTTTTACGTTTTTACAAATCTCTTTAAAGTCTGGCTTAATAGAAGACAGCTGCTCTGCATTCAGTCTGCTGCGATACCACAGTCTCTGGAAAACTCAACTGTGCACAACCCATGAGAAAATGAGGGTGAAAAGGCAAACGGCACTTTAGAATTATTATGAAGATAACTTATCTTGCTGACCATTAAAACCACTGTTTAAATATACACATTCTAGTCGTGCATCCTCTTTAAGAAGAAACAACAAACTTGATAAAATTAAAACTGAACCATGAACCAAAAAATGCAGGAAAAACCTCATTGGCTGACTTGTGGTCAATTTCAATAACTATGACTCAAGAGAGTACGTTTAAAAACTATATACCAAAGATGGAAAGAATTCACTGGCATTAGAGCCACTATATCACCTCTGTCTCCATGCGACAAATTCCTACTCATCCTTCGATTCTCTGCTCAGGTGACATCATCCCTGTAGAGCCTCTTCCTCACCAAAAATAATAAGAGTGATGATAATACTTTCAGCTACGGTAACTAGCATTTATTGGCCACTTACTAGGAGTCAAGCAACGTCAAAACACTTGACACGCGTCACCTTACTTAAATCTCACAGTCAACTCCGAGGAAGGAGCCGGCTTCACCTTACAGAAGAGGTGGCTGAGGCTGGAGAAAGGCCTCTATCTCTGTGCCTTGCACACCTGCTGTCCTAGCACTTAATGCACCCAGATGGTCACTGTCCAAGTGTCTCTGGCCGGGTCAAGGTGAGTTCTTGAAGTCAAAGGTCAAGGGTGGTACGCCTCCGCGTCCCCAGCCACCAAACCTCCCGGGCCCAGTCAGTGAGGGGCCACGACAAGGGACGGAGCCTTCCGGCTTCCCGATCCTCTCGCCCCAGTCTGGCACACGCGAGCTCGGAGTACCGTCCGCGCGGGCAAGCCCTCCGAGGCTTGCCGGAGGAGAGAGGGGGGCCCGGATCTCATCGCTGTAGCCGGGCGGAGGCCGGAACCTTTTTCCTCTCGCCGCGGTAGCCCGCCGGAGCCGGAACCTTTCTCCTATCGCCGCGGTAGCCCGCCTGAGCCGGAACCTTTCTTCTCATGTCGCCGTTGCTGGGGGGAGGTGTGCGGGGCCGGAACAGTCCTCCAGCCGCCGGGTTCGCGCCGCGGTCCCCAGCTGCTGACGTGCGCGGCCCGGCTGTGGGGCCGCGGGCGCGGACAGCTATGGCGGTGGACATCACGCTGCTGTTCCGGGCCAGCGTCAAGACCGTAAAGACTCGGAACAAGGCCCTGGGAGTGGCGGTGGGCGGCGGGGTCGATGGCAGCCGCGATGAGCTGTTCCGCCGGAGCCCCCGGCCCAAGGGCGACTTCTCCAGCCGGGCCCGCGAAGTGGTGAGCTGGTTGCTATGGAAACGGCGGGCTAGAGAGTGGGACGGACCCGAGACAGGGACCCCAGACCCCAAACCAGACCCTGTTCAGTAAGAAGTGTGTGAAGTACGAGGTCTCAAGGGGGACAGAAGAGTTGGTCTCAGAGAGCCGACAGCTGTCTTGGGAAAGGAACAGCCTTATTTTGAGGAAGGGGATGCATGTCGGGAAACTCTAGGGAGCAGATTTCTCCTTGGGGGAAGGAGGCGCTCAGAAATTATCCGCAAAGTTCGTGGGCCACTTTGTGAGGTAATGAGTTCGCCGTCACTGCAGACTTAAATGTAGGGAAACTCCCCCTCAGTCCCTTGCTTCCTGTCGCAGGAACCCTTACTACACTGCATTTGCCTCTTCTGTTTACTTGTCTGCTCCCCACCCCGCACGCCCCAGTTGAGATCAAAAACCATATTCAGCTGAACTCTCTATTCCCTTTGTCTCCCGCACTAAGTAGGACTCTTTCACAAACACTCTGTTACCGTCATCTAAACTACTTTCTGTTCCATGAACATAGCAGCCTTTCCTCCGTTTCCCTGAGAACAGGAACCCTTTCCTTAAGGGCAAGAACAGTGTTGGCTTCATCTCAGAATGCATGACTTGTAGCATTGCTTAGTAAATGTTCGTTGAACAAGTGAATGAACAAATGGTTGTCTGTCTTCTCCGCTAAACAGGAAACTCCATAAGGGGGAGATATTTGTCTTGTTCACTTTTGTATCCTTGGTGGATCTAGTTTTTGCGGGGCCTAAATCTTATGTAGTTTTGTCTGCCCTCTTTAATAAATACACACACACACACACACACACACACACACACACACACACACACACACACACACTTCAGTTCAGAGCATTGGAAGATGCAAATGAAAGGTCCTGAAGCTTAAGCTTCATTAATTTCATGGTAAATCCACCTCTGCTTGACACACAATCCAATGTCTGGCACTTTGTAGACACTCAGATGTTTTTAATGAATATATGTACGCATGAATTAATGAGTGGCAGTTTGCAGAGGATATTCAAGAATGAGAAGAGGGATTGGACCAGATGAATATGTTCAAGCCAGCAATAAACATCTATTAAGCACCTACCTTCTGAACAGCACTGTGTTTTTACGTCCAACAGGACGTAAAAAGAGTGGTGGAGGAGACACATACAAACAAATCAATTGCCATAAAGCCTTGCAGGTGTTGTATAAGACACAAAGGAGAATGTGGTCAGTTCCTTCTGAGGATAAGGAAAGCCTTTATAGAGGAAATGAACCTTGAAACAAATCTTGAAAGAGGATTAGTTGGTTCTAGTGCAGGCAAGGTGGGGAAGGGCATTCCCATGCTGACAGAATAGTATGCACAAAGGTGTGGAGGTAGGTAACAGTCTGACATAAGTTGGTATGATAAACATTTGAGTGTGACTAGAATATGGAATACTCAGAAAAATTGGACTGGAATGGCAGGAAAGTGTAGATCTTAAAGGGCTTTGTATATCATTCTGCAGAGTTTGAACTTTGCCCTGTAGGTAATCAGTTATGTGGTAGAGAAAGCACCAGAGAAGGAGCCAAGAGACCAGGTTGTTGTCTTAACCCTACAACTATTAGCCATATGATGTTAGTAAGCAAGTTTTATGACCTCAGTTGATTTACCTCTAAATGGTCCCCTCTTTTTTTTTTTTTTCTCAAACAGAAGACTTTTAAAAAACTATATTGATCCTCTCTATACAGCAGATCAAAGTGGGAGCATCTCAGGTTGAAATGAGAGGAAGGGAAACAGGACATTCTCCCTCCCTATATTCTCAATTTGGCCCAAGCAGTTACTGAGGTTCCTCTTATTGGAACTGTGGTATGAAGATCACAGTTTTGGTTTTCGGAGGGCCATTTCTAACTCTGAAATCACTGAAATTATTATTAACACTGTGCCAATTTCGGGTTCTACTTAGTGTTAGGGGACTGGAATAGTAGAGACAAGAAGCATAGTTGGGTTTGCAAGCCCTGTGGAGAGCCCTGTGATCATTTAGGCCTCTCCCTGAGTGTCAAGAAATGTGCCAAGAATTAGGCTTTTGAGTTAATGGGCCTCAGGAACTGAAACATGACTCTGCGGTGCTGAGTTCTCTGTCACTGGAGGTAATTAAACAGAAAGACGACTGCTGGTCAGAGATGTTTGAAAAGAACTTTGTGCATTTATCGGAGGATTAGACTGCATGTCAGTGAGAATTCCAATTCTGCTATTTAATGATGTGGGTATGTGTCAAGGCTTGGAGATTTTATGAAATAGGGACATAAGCTGTGTCATTAGAGCCACTGCCACTCTTGACACAGGGAAGGCATGCATTCTTTTGAGGAGTATTGATTTTACATCACAGTTGCTTTGTGAATTATCTCCTCTTCTTGCAACCGTTTCCCACTCCCCCTCTTTCCTTGTGGAAAGTTTAACTAGTATAGACCTAGTCATGGGTGTCCTATTCTTTTACCACAATCAGATGTGTAGAGTCTGGCCATTATTTTGTTTGGCCTGGATTTCTTACACATAAAAATCTAGTCAATACTAGAAGCATGTTTTCTAATTCAGGTTTAACCCTGATTTTTTACACCTGAGGAAATGTAGCAAGTTGTACTAATGACTTTTGATAAATGCCTTCATTGTAGCATTTGCTATTATTTCTAGGGTACATTGCATCTAGCTCAATTCCCATTCCTCCCTTCTTTATTTTGGTCAAAACACACATCTGATGTCAGATTTCCATCTCACTGAATTGTAGAGGTTATATTAGCTTAATAAAATTGTGTTGAAACTAGATCTTTTTTTCCCTTCACAGGATTTCTTCTGCATCATTCTTTTAAATATTTAACTTTTATACTCAGTTTTGGTAAATTTATATATACTTAAATGCATGTATACCCACTAAATTACAGACAGTAATGACATTTCAAATTTTTTTGGAGGAATTTATATTATTTGAACAATTCCAAATAATGATGAATATGCCACTTTGCAGTGGAAACTTGATTAGTTAGTTAACTCACTTTAATTGTGGGACTGATGAGGACCATGGGATTAGAAAGATAACTAGGACTTGGACTGAAGTTTGGGTTCTGCTGCTTAGAAGTGGCTGAACTTGGGCAAGTCCTCTTATCTGATTCTCATTTTCTATTTCTTTAAAATGGACATGATAATACCCTATTTAAGCTAATTACTAGGATATTATGAGACTATGTATATATTAGAAGGAACCATACTGATTATTATTGTTCCCCTTTACTGCCTCTCCCCTCCCCATGTAGGCCATTTAGACATATTTTTTTCCAGTGGCACCAACTATATTCTCCAAACCATTTAGCTGCCTTGCACTTTCAATCCTTGCTTGTAGAGGGGAGCCAAGTAAGCACATGAAGGAATGAGTGAAAATCCTGTGCAGGTACTGATGGCATGAGTGGTAGAGCAAAGGACTGCCTGCACTGATAAAAGACAGCAGCATTTCTGCATCAAGGTGGAATTCTTGCTCAGCCATGGCAAATGTGTGGCAAGTATGCAGCTGTTCCTCACTCTTTCTCCCTGTGACCGCTAAAGACAGTGCTGATTTCCTAGTAGATCTGTACAGCTCAGAATGCTTTGCAAGGAGCCATCACCAGTTGTTGGGTTCAACATGCAAGTTGGAATCTACTTGACATAGAGTAAAAATAGAATCTATATACCTAAAGCAGAATCATGGGCTTTTTTTTTTTTTTTTTTAAAAAACATTTAAAAGTACCCAGTCATAGCAGCTGAGGTCATAGTGCAGAGCCAGAGGTAGAATGCAGGTCTGTTGGCCAACTTTAGTGCGGTTTTTCCCCCCACTACATCCTCCTACCTTACATTTCCATTATAATTTTTTTTTTTTTTTTTGAAAAGATGACCGGTAAGGGGATCTTAACCCTTGACTTGGTGTTGTCAGCACCACGCTCAGCCAGTGAGCCAACCGGCCATCCCTATATAGGATCCAAACCCGTGGCCTTGGTGTTATCAGCAATGCACTCTCCCGAGTGAGCCACGGGCTGGCCCCTGCCACTATAATGTATAAAACAGAGTTTTTTTGGTGATGAGTTTCTTTTTCTTGAGTTAATACTGAATTCATAACTGAATACTGAATGAAATTTGGAGGAGAAAGACTTGAATTTGAATGTCTCTTATTTGCCATATGAACTTGGGCAAGCTTCTTAGCCTCAGTTTCCTCCTTTATAAAATAGTGTGAGTAATGGCAACATTATAGGATTGTTAGGCAGATGAAATAAGAAAAGGTATCCAAGTGCCTGCATAAGTCTGGGTTCTTTCGGTTGCAAGTAATTGCAACCTAATGTAAACTAACCTGAACAAAATGAGAATCTCTTAGCTCATCTAATGGGCCAGTCCAGGGATAGAGCTTCTTTCTCTAGCTCTTATCCATAAAACTCAAAGAAAGGACTCTAGTTGGCTTTGCTTAGATCCTGAGCCCTCTCATAGTAGTCATTATGGTTAGAGGGATAAGGTTCTTTAGGTGGTCAGGTCTTATGTCCACCTCAATCTGTGGGCAGTAGCTGGTGAGGATACTGTGATTCCAGCCCCACCAGAACTGTGGAAAAGGGAGTGCTATATCTGGGAGTAGGGAGCAAGGGATATTGGGCAGGCAGAAGCAACGGAAACATCTGTCACAGTGCCTGACATGCCTCCACCTCATCTGCCTGGTTGTCTTCAGCTCTGTGGGGAATGAAAAAATACAATTGTGGGGGTTTGTAATAACAGGCTTTGTGTATGGGAATGGGCCTGGAGATGCCTCATAGTAGCAGTTCTTCTATTCTCTTACTGATTTATAAAGATTACAGAGGCCAGGGGAAGCTACCACACAGGTAACTGAGACTCCTGTCAGCAGCCGAGCTGCGTGTCCAGAGGCAGCAGGGGCCACTGAAGAGCACTGGACAGGAAATCAGGAAGCCTGTGTTCTAGCCACAGGTCTGCCATTAAGTGGACTGGC